ACCATATTGGCTGTGTTGGTCTCGAACTCCTGACCTCATGATCCACCCACCTTGGCCTCCCAAAGTGCTGGGATTACAGGCATGAGCCACCACACCCGGCCAGTATACGTGACATTCTTAAGGTCCACTAAAGGCTCAGGTGTGGTTGGAGGCTAGAGGATGGCCTTTGAGATACTGGGATTGGAAGGGTAGGTGGCCTGTGGGTGTCTCCTCTGGGGGAAGACTCCCCAGGTGGAAGGGGTTCTTGCTCTCCAGAGGTAGCTTAGCACAGTGACATTAACAGTGACAGGGGCATGTGTGTAAGAAACGCTTCCCCAGGCTCTCTCTTCATAGGTGTTTGCAGCAGCATCCATCACAGCATCTCTAAGAGGTTAAATGTTGCAAATCCCATTCTACAGAGGTGGAAATTGAGCCTCAGAGAAGTTACGTCGCTTGCCCCAGACCCCATAGCTCCCAGTGACAGTGCTAGGACTCAGAGCCAGCTCTCTCACCTCCATCCAGCAGGAGACCCCGCCAGTTTCCAGCCATTTGGAGAAATGCCCTACTCAGACTCATTCAACCTCAGCAAGCCTGGTGGTGCTCTGACATCTGCCAAACCCCCATCAAGCCCTTTAGCTCCACAACCCAAAAGGGTCTCTCTATGAGGTATCCTGAAGCAAAAGACAGGCAGGGCAACTCTGCTCCCACCCTGGGGAGCTTTCTCTGTACGGGGCTGTCTCTCTGTTTGGGGCTCTGATCTCTCCTTCCTGCCTTGCCGCGTGTCGAGGCATCTCCCATGGAGTTGTGATCAGCATTGCAGCACTCCCAGCAGCCCTGAGCCGTGGTGAGTCCCCTCAGCTGGCCGGACAGTACTCTACTCTCACCTCTCTGCTTCTCTGGCTCCATCCCAGCTCCCCACCATCTGGTCTCCTTGCAAACCCGCAAGACTCCAGGACGCCCTCCCTCTGGAGTCCATGCTGCCTTCAGCACTTCACTCCCCACCAGTGATGGCGACATTTGGTGTTCTTTGTCCACTTTATTTACTTGCTTATTTTTAATTACAAAAGTTTTATACTGGCTGGGCGCGGTGGCTCACGCCTGTAATCCCAGCACTTTGGGAAGCCAAGGCGGGTGGATCACCTGAGGTCAAGAGTTCAAGACCAGCCTGACCAACATGGAGAAACCCTGTCTCTACCAAAAATGTAAAATTAGCCGGGCTTGGTGGCGCATGCCTGTAATCCCAGCTATTCTTGAGACTGAGGCAGGAGAAACACTTGAACCCAGGAGGCGGAGGTTGCAGTGAGCCAAGAGATGCCACTGCACTCCAGCCTAATCGACAGAGCGAGACTCTGTCTCAAAACAAAAGAAAGAAAGATGGGCATGGTGGCTGATGCCTGTAATCCAAGCACTTTGGAGGCCAAGGCGGGCGGATCACCTGAGGTCAGGAGTTCAAGACCAGCCTGACCAACATGGTGAAACCCTGTCTTTAAAAAAAAGAAAGAAAAAGAAAAAAGAAAGATAATATTTACCTATCTCTACAGATAGCCTGTAGGTATGTAAGTAGGTGGGTGGGTAGATAGTTCCATGGATATCCCATAGTCTTCTGCAGCTGTACTTTAGCTCTGAGCACAGTCTATATTCTGGTATGTCTTGACTCCATATTCCTGGGAAAGCCCTCAGCTGAGACCGTAGGGGTCTTTGGAGGTGCAGTGGGTAGGGTAGTTGAATTCGAGGGCTGTTCCCTGAGGGCACTGGGCAGTAATTGGGGCATGGGATGGGCATGAGGGCCCCGTCCCTAAACATTGCTCACTCCACCCCAAGGCCCCCAGCTGCCAGCATGCGGCTGCCTCGCTTCTCCAACAAGACAGTGACCACGCTCCTCCTGGCACAGACTATCTGCCTCCTGCTCTTTGTCGCCTACCAGCCAGGACCCTCTTCCCCCGCAGAGTCAGGCAGCGAGCGTGTGCACGTGCTGGTGCTGTCCTCATGGCGCTCGGGCTCGTCCTTCGTGGGCCAGCTCTTCAGCCAGCACCCCAACGTCTTCTACCTGATGGAGCCCGCGTGGCACGTGTGGACCACACTGTGGCGGGGCAGCGCCACAACGCTGCACATGGCCGTGCGCGACCTGGTACGCTCCGTCTTTTTGTGCGACATGGATGTGTTTGATGCCTACATGCCACAGAATCGAAACCTGTCCGCCTTTTTCAAGTGGGAGGTGAGCCGCGCGCTTTGCTCGCCACCCGCCTGCAGCGCCTTTCCCCGAGGTGCCATCAGCAAGGAGAACGCATGCAGGACTCTGTGCACACGGCAGCCCTTCAGCCTGGCCGAGGAGGCCTGCCGTTCCTACAGCCACGTGGTGCTCAAGGAGGTGCGCTTCTTCAACCTGCAGGTGCTCTACCCGCTGCTCAGGGACCCCGCTCTCAACCTGCGCATCGTGCACCTGGTGCGCGACCCGCGGGCCGTGCTGCGCTCCCGGGAGGCGGCGGCCCAGCTACTAGCACTTGACAACGGCATTGTGCTGGGCACCAATGGCAAGTGGGTGGAGGCCGACCCTCACCTGCACCTGATGCGGGAGGTGTGCCGCAGCCATGTGCGTATTGCCGAGGCCGCCACACTCAGGCCGCCACCCTTCCTGCGCGGCCGCTACCACCTGGTGCGCTTCGAGGACCTGGCGCGGGAGCCGCTGGCAGAGATCCGGGCACTCTACGCTTTCACCGGCCTGAGCCTCACGCCACAGCTCGAGACCTGGATCCACAACATCACCCACGGGTCAGGGATCGGCGAGGCATTCGAGGCTTTCCAGACTTCGTCTAGGAATGCGCACAACGTCTCCCAGGCCTGGCGCCATGCGCTGCCCTTCACCAAGATCCGCCATGTGCAGAAGGTGTGCGCCAGTGCACTGCAGCTGCTGGGCTACCGGCCCGTGTACTCTGAGGACGAGCAGCACGACCTCACTGTGGATCTGGTGCTGCCACGACGCCCAAAACACTTCAGCTGGGCATCCTCTGACTCTGAGAACTCTGGACCCTAGAGCAGGCCCCAAATTGTGGTCACCAGGCCCAGGAGGCGACTGCCTGGTGGAGAGGGAGCTGGGGCACACAGGGAAGCAGGCCCTTACTGTTAACTGGGAGTTTGGAGTCCTCCCCTGAAATAGGCAAGGACTGCACGTTTCTTTCTCTCCTGGTTCTCGGTTTTCCATTGAGTCCTCTGTAGCTGCCTTCTCATCAGGTCCTCTCTTCATGGAAAGCAACACTTGCCTCTACCTCTCTGGGAACATGGAGTAAGTTCTGCTACATTAAATTAAATATGTTACAGACCACATGTGGTGGCTCACACCTGTAATCTCAGCACTTTGAGAGGCTGAGGCAGGTGGATCACATGAGGTCAGGAGTTCGATACCAGCCTGGCCAACATAGTGAAATGCCCTCTCTACTAAAAATACAAAAATTAGCAGGGTATGGTAGCACACACCTGTAATCCCACCTACGTGGAAGACTGAGGTGGGAGAATCACTTGAACCCGGGAGGTGGTATTTGCAGTGAGCTGAGATCTTACCACCACACTCCAGCCTGGGTGACAGAATGAGACTCCATTAAAAAGAAAATTTACATTTGCTCAAAAATCCTGTAATCTAGTGAACTGTAACCTCATTTTTTTCTCTTATCATTTTTTTATTGTGTGATTCCATTTATTTAAAGCTGAAAAAAACAGAAAAACTAGTCTATGGTGGTAGAGGTCAGAATAGGGGATACTTTGGCCACGTGCAGTAGCTCATGCCTGTAATCTCAGCACTTTGGGAGGCCAAGGCAGGCGGATTGCCTGAGGTCGGGAGTTCAAGACCAGCCTGGCTAACATGGTGAAACCCTGTCTCTAACGAAAAATACAAAAAATTAGCCAGGCACTGTGGCATGTGCCTGTAATCCTACCTACTCCAGAGGCTGAGGCAGGAGAATTGCTTGAACCCAGGAGGCAGAGGTTGTAGTGAGCCAAGATCATGCCAGTGCATTCTAGCCTGGGTGACAGAGCGAGACTCTGTCTCAAAAAAAAAAAAAAATTAAGAAAGCATAAAGAGGCCAGGTACAGTGGCTCATGCCTGTAATCCCAGCACTTTGGGAAGCCAAGGTGGGAGGATCACCTGAGGTCGGAAGTTCAAGTCCAGCCTGACCAATATGACAAAACCCCGCCTCTACTTAAAATTCAAAATATAAAATAAGCTGGGCACAGTGGCACATGCCTGTAATCCCAGCTACTCAGGTGGCTGAGGCAGGAGAATCGCTTGAATCCAGAAGGCAGCGGTTGCGGTGAGCCGAGATCGTGCCATTGCACTCCTGCCTGGGAGACAGAGCAAGACTCTGTCTCAAAAAGAAAAAGAAAACATAAATAATAATCCAACTAAGATGAAATTGTGAATTGTGAACTCAATACCAAAACAAAACAAGTCCAGTACGATGGTGACCGAAAACGGGGTCAGGGTCCGAGGCTTTGGTCAATCTCTCAAAACTGAGAGGCTGACCAAAAGGCAGAGATGTTTAAATTCAATTAAATTTGGCCCAAAGCTGCTGCCAATACCTGTTGAACTGCAACCTAACTTAGTATTTACATAAACTGCCTCCCAACTGAGACTATATTCTTGCAACAAATAGCTGAGTCTCAGCAAGTCACAACAGCTGTGCTTAACCAGTCGCAGGCTGCCAACTGATCAGACTGTGTCCAGATAAGGCAAATGCTGAGCTGTATCCATCAGACCATTACTGTGTTACTTCAATACATTTGGCCTGCCCATGTTGCTGGGTGGAGCACTCTGAACCTTTACTGGTTCAGGATGCTGCCCAATTCATACATTTTCTTTGCTCAAATAAAGTCTGCTTAATTTAATTCGCGTATTGTTTTTCTATTAACAGTCCTGATGACTTGGCGGTGACCCAACTCCTTCTTTCCCCTCAACTCTTTCCTCTCTTGGAATGCATCCTGCAGCAGCTGAAAGAGGTGCCCCAGGCCCAGCTGGGAGCAAAATCTGGTGATAATGCTTCTGAACATCCCACATGCACCACATACATGCACCTCCTCCACACACACACACACACACACACTCACTCACATGCACACACAGCCTAGACTCTGTTCCCCTTATGCCCCTGGCACCACACTCCATCAAAGCCTTGACTTTTATATTCCTCTCTGTCTTCAGTGAGAAAGAGGTGTATCAGGCCAGGTGCGGTGGCTCACGCCTGTAATCCCAGCACTTGGGGAGGCTGAGGTGGGTGCATCACTTGAGGTCAGGAGTTCAAGACCAGCCTGGCCAACATGGTGAAAACCTGTCTCTACCAAAAATATAAAAAATAAGGTGTGGCGGTGCGCGCCTGTAATCCCAGCTACTTGGGAGGCTAAAAGGGGAGAATTGCTTGAACCCGGGAGGCAGAGGTTGTAGTGAGCTGAGATCGCATCACTACTCCATCCTGGGTGACAGAGTGAGACTCCATCTCAAAAAAAGAAAAAAAAGAGGTATATTAGCCTTGAAGCTGAAACCCACTAGAGAATCCTTTGAGCTTTAGATGCTTCTTGTCTTGTGGTCTTCTCCTGGACTCTCTCTACTCTACCTCCCAGGAAGCCACATCACCTTGTCCAGATAAGGTAAACCTTTGAAATTTTTTTTTTTGAGACAAAGTCTCACTCTGTCGCCCAGGTTGGAGTGCAGTGGTACCATCTCGGCTCACTGCAACCTCCCTATCCTGGGTTCAAGCCTGTTCTCCTGCCTCAGCCTCCGGAGTAGCTGGGATTACAGGAGTGTGCCACCACACCCAGCTGATTTTTGTATTTTCAGTAGAGACAAGGTTTCACCATGTTGGCCAGGCTGGTCTCAAACTACTGATCGCAAGTGATCCACCCGCTTTGGTTTCCAAAAGTGCTTGGATTACAGGAGTGAGCCACTGTGCCCGGCCAGATGAACCTTTGATTTACACTGACATGAAATAGCCTACCTACAGAAATGAATTTAATTAATAATTCACCTGTGTGATACAGATTAGAGTTTATAGCCTGTAAGCTTGAAAAGCAAACTCAGAAGGGAAGGGACTTTTCCAAGGTCATGTGGTAAGGAGGATTAAAGGAAGAAAGGAATTTTGCTGTGGGGCTTCAGTAGGGAGAAGAGGGTGAAGCAGACTTGCGGAGACCTGCTCCTGCGTGAGAAGGGTCAGATCTTTCCCATTTTAATTGCTTTAGGGAAGAGCAGGCAGAGTCACGGCCAGGGACACAGCCGAGAGATAGATAGAGGAGGCTATGAATGCTGAGACCAGAGCTTATCATCCTGGACAAGCCTGAAGGGAGGCAGTAAGTGGGAAAGGTAAGAAGGGGCTGGGGAGGCCTGGGCAGCAAGCCAGGCATAGGGCCTGGCAGAGCAAGAGGGGGGCAGCAGGATCAGTGCCTGGAAGGCAGGGGCGGCCAATCGGTCATGGGGAGTGGAACTCATCAGGCTTGCTGGGAGGTTGGAAGAGAAATGGCTCTGGGCTGGATCTGTCTTCCATTGGTTCTTCTGGACCAGGCCCTGGAGGAGAGCAGAGGAAGATCCCTGCCTGCGAGCCACATCACCTAGCTCTGGTGGCAAAGGGGCTTAGTAAAGGGATGCTGGGTGTGTAGAGGGCTTAGTCCTGAGCTCAGGAAATGAGAGCCAGTAAGTGCCCAGTACATGTTTAAAAGAAAAGCTTGAGGCCTGGCGCGGTGGCTCACACTAGTAATCCCAGCACTTTGGGAGGCTGAGGCGGGCAGATCACGAGGTCAAGAGATCGAGACCATTCTGGCCAACATGGTGAAACCTGGTCTCTACTAAAAATACAAAAAATTAGCGGGGTGTGGTGGCGCGCACCTGTAGTCCCAGCTACTCAGGAGGCTGAGGCAGGAGGATCACTTGAACCTGGAAGGTGGAGCTTGCAGTGAGCCGAGATGGCGCCACTGCACTCCAGCCTGGTGACAGAGCGAGACTCTGTAGAAAGAAAAGAAAAGAGAAAGGAAAAGAAGAGAGAGAGGAAGGAAGTAAGGAAGGAAAAGGGAAAGGAAGGAAGGAAAGAAATAAAAGCTCACAGAACCCCTGGGAAGAATAAGGAAGCTGAATTAGCCACATAAATGAACTCAGATCACATTGGAACACAGAGCTGGTCTGGGAAGTGTGTTGGCTGCCACCAGAACTTCTGACCCTGTTACCTGTGAAATAAGGCAGTTACCCTCATGGTTGCCATCAGCTTCCAGGAGGGATGTTTGTGGTCACCAGCTTCTGATTCTCATCTGGCTTTTTTTTTCTTTTCTTTTCTTTTTTGTTTTTTTTAAGATGGGGTTTCACCATGATGGCCAGGCTGGTCTTGAACTCCTGACCTCAGGTGATCCACCCACCTCGGCCTCCCAAAGTGCTAGGATTACAGGCATGAGCCACCGTGCCTGGCCCCTCATCCTGGTTTTGACCACAGATTGGGGGAACCTGGATTGTGGAGCCATATCCTGCCTGCAAAGCCAGCAGGGCAAGGGGGATCTGGTGTTTTCTGCTTTACGTGGAGGAAGCACAGATATATTAACCTTGAAGCTGACCCCCACCGGAGGACCCTCCAGCTTTAGAGGCTTCAGCCACACAAATCCTGCATCTTTCCCTGCTGACAGTAACATGGGCAGAGTGTTTAAAGCCACAAATGAAGCAATGGGTATTCTACAGCTTGAAAGATCTGTCTCTTCAGGCTGCTGCAGCAAAATACTTCAGACTGGGTAACTAATAAGCAACAGAAATTTATTTCTCACAGGCTGGGAAGTCCAAGATCAAGGAGCCAGTGGTGTCTGGTGGAGGGCTGGCTTTTTTTTTTTTTTTTTGAGATGGAGTCTCACTCTGTCACCCAGGCTGGAGTGCAATGGCTTGCTCTTGGCTCACTGCAACCTCTGCCTCCTGGGTTCAAGTGATCCTCCTGCCTCAGCCTCCTAAATAGCTGGGATTACAGGCATGTACCACCACGCCCGGCTAATTTTGTATTTTTAGTAGAGACAGAGTTTCTCCGTGTTGATTAGGGTGGTCTTGGACTCCGGACCTCAGGTGATCTGCCCTGCTTGGCTTCCCAAAGTGCTGGGATTACAGGTGTGAGCCACTGCGCCCAGCAGAGGGCTCCCTTTTTCACAGACAGTGACTTCTAGCCGTGTCCTCCGGTGGTAAAAGGAATGTGGCAGTTCTCTAGGGCAGTTTTATTTCATTTTATTTTTTTGAGACGGAGTTTTGCTCTGTCACCCAGGCTGGAGTGCAGTGGCACAATCTTGGCTCACTGCAACCTCTGCTTCCCATGTTCAAGCGATTCTCCTCCCTCAGCCTCTCCAGTAGCTGGGATTATAGGCGCTCACCACCACTCATGGCTAATTTTTTTGTATTTTTACTAGAGACAGGGTTTCATCATGTTGGTCTAGGGCCTTTTTATAGGAGCACTAATCTCACTGAAAAGGGTTCCATCCTCATGATTGAATCACCTCCCAAAGGCTGCACTTCCTAGTACCATCACCCCAGAGGTGAGACTTTAAACGTATGAACTGGAGGGGACACAGGCATCCACACCACAATAGAAAGGCTGGGGTCACATAGATTTGTATGTGGACTGGGATTCCAATTGACATCTTTGACTTCAATGCTTGTGGTTCTACCAAGTAAACTGTACTAGGGATGAGGATGAACTGCTGCAAATGATCTCACGACAGTCTTGGAAGATCAGATCATTTGCTCCTGACAACAACATGGGTCTCTAGGGGTGAGGGAGCCCTCTTGGCATTGGCTACAAACATCTCAAGCCTCCGGTGAGCCCGGGTCTCCTACACCTTGAGGGATTTGTTGGGCAGTTGACAGGGGCATCGGGTCCCTGCTGATGCCCCTTCATGCATGTGTCTCACCACTGTCCTACCCACCTCTCATCCTGTCCTGGCCAGTAGGAATAAAATAACCTGCAGACCCTGTCATGAAGGAGTCCACTGTCTTGTGGAGGAGTCAGCCTAGGAACAGAAAGTCCGAGTCAATGTGGTCTGCTCAGGCAACCAAGGATGGACAAGAGGCTCATGATGCCAGAGGCCAGGGACAGGGAGAGGCTGATAGCTAGTACAGTCAAGGACGGCTTTGATGGGGGACTCAGAGCCCAGCCAGGCAGTGGTATCCCATAGGCTTCATTTGCCCCTGATTGGGTCACAGGTTTTACTGATGGCCGCAATGAATGGCCTCTCTGTATCCACATCCTTGCTATATGACTCATCCATTCTCTCCTGACTCCCAAGGTGCTAGTTCAGGGATGACTGGCTCCCAGATCTGTCCCCTGCACACGGGACACTGTCAGCAAGCCTCAGGGTGAGCCCTGGTCTCTGTGTGCATTGGTGACCCCCAGGTAAGCTCGTGGTAAGCTCCGGTTGCTCGAGCGAAGCAGGCATTCTGGACAAGCTTCCGGTGAGCCCGGGTCTCCTACACATTATGCACACTGAGCACGCATCTGGTTGCACCTCTGGGCCCACTGGGCTGCAGGCCAGCCTGGGATAAACCTAGATCAGGTTTCAAGACAAAGTCAGAGAGTAGCCTGGTTGGCTGGGGACAACAAAGCCACAGCTGGGGACTCGGAGGAGGCAGATACTTGTATTGCTTGTCACATATGCCTTATCACTCAGGGATTATAGTCATGACAACAAAATTTTATTACAGGGGATTGCCCAGTGCTGTAACAGGGCAAAGACCTCTGGGTGGGTGTGGGGATGACTGGACTGAGGGCCACAGTTAATGGCTCATTGTATCAACACTCTTTGCTATGTGACCATAGCTCCTGCCATCAAGAGGTGGAGTCTCTTTCCGTGCCTTTGAATCTATGTTGGTCTTGTGACGTGCTTTGGCCAGTAGAATGTTGCACAGGTCCCAGTGTGTCAGTTTTGAGCTTGGCTTTGTAGAAAAGCCCTTATGATCTCTTCCCATCGTAGTTTTACCTGTCTTAGCTCTAGCCATCTTAGGCTTCAGCTGGAGGTCTGCTGTGGTTTGAATGTGTCCCCCAAAGTTCACATGTGGAAACCTGATCCCCAATGCATCAGTGTTGGGGATGTAAATGAAAAGTAGGATGGGCACGGTGACTCACACCTGTAATCCCACCACTTTGGGAGGCCGAGGTGGGTGGATCATGAGGTCAGGAGTTCAAGACCAGCCTGGCCAAGATGGTGAAACCCCGTCTCTACTAAAAAATACAAAAATCGGCCAGGCATGGTGGTGGGTGCCTGTAATCCCAGCTACTCCAGAGACTGAGGCAGGAGAATTACTTGAACCCGGGAGGCAGAGGTTGCAGTGAGCCAAGATCACACCACTGCACTCCAGCCTGGGTGACGGAGCAAGACTCCATCTCAAAAAATAAAATAAAATAAAATAAAAAAGATGAAAAGTGATTAGGCCATGATAAGGGCTCTACTTTCATGAATGGATTAATGTCATTTTGTCATTATTTCAGGAGTGAGTTTATCTTGAGAGTGATAGCTTTTAAATGAAGGAGTTTGTTCTCTTTTTGTCTCTGTCCCTCTCTGTGCCCTTCCATCATATGATGTCTAGCAACATGGTAACATAGCAAGAAGGTCCTCGCCAGATGCTTGCTCGCCAATCTTGGGTTTCCCCCAGCCTTCAGAAGGGTGAGCCAATAGATTTCTCTTTATTATCAATTACCTAGTCTCTAATATTCTGTTACAGCAACACAAAAGGGACTAAAATAGGCTCCTTAACAAAAAGATTCACAGACACAACAGTTTGTTTGTTTTGAGATAGTGTCTGGCTTTGTGGCCCAGGCTGGAGTGCAGTGGTGCCATCTCAGCTCACTGCAACCCCCACCTCCCCAACTCAAGCAATTCGCCCATCTCAACCTCCCAAGTAGCTGGGACTACAAGCACATCACTATGCCAGGCGAATTTTTGTATTTTGGGGGCTACATGTGTTTTACTACGTAGCCCAGTCTGATCTCTAACTCCTGTGCTCAAGCAATCCACCTGCCTCAGCCTTCCAAAGTGCTGCAATCATAGGCGTGAGCCACCCAAGAACAGTTCCTTAACACATGCCGCGTCTATCACACAGGATAAGGCTAAATGAAAGGTAACAACACAGTAGCTCAGAACACTGCCTTATACAGCATCTTCCAAAAGACACAATAAATTTATAGAATAGAGAAATAACAGGACAAAAGAAAGTTTTAGGCCTCCAATGGTGAGAAACTGTGCAAAGGTAAATATCCGAGAGGAAGCTGATGCGGCAGGATTTGTCTGCGGTGCCTCTGGTATCGCCTCTGGCTGGGCAGAGTTAAGGGTTGTCTCCAGTGAAGAATTTATACTGTGCCTTTAGGCAGAAAAGCGGGAGGGGGCCGGGCGCGGTGGCTCACGCCTGTAATCCCAGCACTTTGGGAGGCCGAGGCGGGTGGATCACGAGGTCAAGAGATCGAGACCATCCTGGTCAACATGGTGAAACCCCGTCTCT